AAATAACCCCGTTTTATGATACTCCAATTTTGTAGGCTATATTATTTAAAAAAACATGCTAAACCTATTTGTTATCATCATAACTTTCATGATGGCATCTGTTAGTAATTTATCATGTGAAAAAAAAATCACAGGATTTTGCCAAACGTAAAAAGTTAATAATCTGAACTTTACATTTACAACAGAGGTATAAGCAACAGATTGCAATTACATTCCTGATATGATGCTGGCTTCTTTTTTGAAATTTACCTGTAAAAAAAAAAAAAAAAAAAAAAAAAAAAAAAAAAAAAAAAAAAAAAAAAAAAAAAAAAAAAAAAAAGTTTTGCAGCCATCCACAGGAGGGCAGTGTTGCATCATGAGTAACTGATTCAAGTTAGCTGACAACCAAGAAGCACAATACAAATCCATAGGTGTCCAAATCCAGAGTATAATAATAAAAATCAAGACAAAAGTGGAGGAATGTATAATCCTTGAACAGCTTCACGCAGTAATCAAGTTACAGATTTGGAAAATAAAAGTAATCTCTAACAACATAAATCTTGCACTCCTAGAGGAAACACATCTGTGGTCAAGCATGTCAAAAGTTTAAACAAAGATTTATGTTCTGTTAATCCATTAGTTCATTAGTATGTGATGAAGTTTGCACTCAGCTACTACCACACCAGTTTCTAGCTCTACATAGGTCAAACTGACTGAGTTATAGACAGCTTTGTGGTTCCTAGGCTCATTAAATGTGGTGGCCATCTTGAATTGTGTTGTCAGTTCTAGTTGTGCATTCAGTTATTACTTTATGAGTTGTTTTGCTAACAGACATGCACACACAGAATTAAAAGATTATCTGCTTATCGTGGCAGGGGATGATAAAAACTTTGTATGTCTTCTAAGAGATGGGACAGCAGAAACAGAAAAAAAGGTCGGTCAGAGAGGTCAAAAAAAGCCTCAGAGTTGAGTCCTACAACTGATGAACTGTCCCCGTGTCATCATTAGAGACAATGTCACCCTGCTGTGTGACTTAAAATCTGTGGACACGCAAAAGAGGATGGGGACGAAAAGATGACGCAACATCCTGTCTGCTTCAGATCTCCATGCAGGTGATGGAGGACGTTCATGATGACGTAAGAGAAAAAAAAAGTCAAGTATAACCTTCCATTCAGAGCGACACCGCAGTTCTTATCAGGACACCTGTATCGGGGCAAAAACACTGAGATAAGAGGCTGTTTTGTTGTTGTGGGGCTGACAGCTGACAGATTGTATCACTGAGTAGGACACAGGTGACAGATGAGGCTGCAGAAGTTGCAGACCTGTCATTTCGCCGAGCTGAAAATGTCAGCTGCTCCACGTGAGACACTATTATCACGCTTATCACTATTATCACGCTGTTAAATATTGTCTCAGGCGGCAGCGAGTCCTGCGTCCCTGACTAAGAACCCTTCCTCCCGTCATCTGAAGCTCTTAATAATTGTCACTCGTGARGCGCTGGCTCAGGAATCCTGTCGGCAGTAACACTTTTTCATCAAAACACACTTTTGTGAAAAAAAATCAAGAAATGTTTATTGGGTGATAAGTTGACAGCTCAAATGTCCCAAACATTCAGCCACAGATCAGATGACATGACTGGAAAAATAAATCGTTGATCGACCACCTAGGGTGTCCTGGTGCCACGTGCGCTTATGGACGTTCAGGAGCAGCTTCTGCAGTGTTGGAGAGTGAGTTGTGGGGAGAATCTCTCGATGTTAAGTTCCTACGCTTCACATGACAAACTTTGGGTAGTGACCAAAAGAATGAGATCACGGGTACAGGTGTTTGAAATGCGTTTTCTCCATAGGGTAGCTGGACTCTCCACAATGACAGGAGCCAGTTGAGGTGGCTCAGGTGCCTCTTGCCCTCAGACGCCTCCCTGTGGTAGTGGTTCAGGCATGTCCGGGAGGAGAAGACACAGGACACGCATGTCCTGGGGACACCATTAAATCCCCTCCAAAAGACCTGGAAGAGGTGTCTGGGGAAAGAGAGGCCTCCCTGCTCTTGCTGCTCTCTTTGTGACTCTGGAACAAGCGGTAGGTAATGGATGGKTGGGTTTATACCAAAGCCATTTTCAATTCAATTTCACTTCAAAAATTTATTAATTTCATTAAAACGTAACAATAAAAAACAAAGAAAGTACACAAATCAAAAATCAAAACAAAATGAAAGGTCGCAGAAGAATAAATCTTATAATGTCTGCCCCTTTTATCCCCAGAATATATTCAAACAAAACATAATTTACAAAACAATACAAATAAAAATTAAAACATCAACTCAAACTACAATTCTTATAGTTTCTCATATTACTTTTCATATGCCTTCAAAAAAACTAGCTTTTATCTGTCTCTTAAATATATACATACAGTGGTTTGCAAAAGTATTCATACCCCTTGAACTTTTCCATATTTTGTCACATTACAACCACAAACATAAATATATTTCACTGGAATTTAATGT